AGGAGAAATGCCACTAAGTCTACGCAGGGAACAGCTAAGCTTAAATTTCTGGGCCGCGTCCCAATCAAACCCTCTCATCCAAAACTTAATAAACCAAAACATCAGCCCCAAAAACCAAGCTCTAGCTCGTAAACACCCCTTACTTACTCCAATATCCCAAAGAATAACAAACTACCTAAATGAACACCAAATTAAAAATCTTAAACAAAACTGCAAACAATCAAATATCTTCACCCCTAAACTTAAAATACCCAAAATAGACACAACACTAGCTAGCCAAAAAAATAAACAAACCGACCCAAACATAGCTAAAACTACCACACTAGCATACATACACGAAAATTGGCCAAATTGGTGTCACATTTACACGGACGGATCCTCAGATCCGACCTCCAAACACACAGGTTTCGGAGTCCATACCACACAACCAACTAAAACCAGACAATCCTTCCGACTCCCAAACAGCCAATCAATATTCACTGCAGAACTAATGGGCATGGCCTCAGCCCTCCATAATCAAGAATCCAAAAAACACAACAAAATCGTAATACTTACCGACTCCCTAAGTGGACTGCAAGCCCTCCAAAACAAAAATACGAAAAACCGACCTAAATTAATAAATAAAATACTTAAAAGCTCCAACGACCTAACTAAGGCAGGCAAAAAATAACCTTCTTGTGGATACCCGCCCACGTAGGAATATACGGTAATGAAAACGCCGATAAAGCAGCTTAACTATCCCTCAAAATCCCAGAAATAAGTTTAAACTTACCCATCTCAAAATCAGAAATTAAAAGTGTAAACAAGCAAAAAATCACCAAAAAAATGGCATAACCTATATCTAAACTCAAATAGCCAAATCAAAAAAGTGCTCAGCAAACCACTAACCAAACTAAAAATTCTCCATCCATCCCAAAAAATCGACAGAGTAATCACTAAACTCCAAACAGGACACACCAACCTAAATAACCACCTAAACAATTTTAAAAAACACACTACAGGTAACTGCCCACACTGCAAACAACCAGAAACCCCAGAACACGCACTCATCCACTGCACACACTACCTAACACATCGAACCGCATTACAAACCACCCTCAATCTAAACAAGGCTCTAACTCTAGAAGCAATACTAAACCCACAAAATAAACTAGAAAACTTCAAGGCCTTAGGCGTATTCTTAATAAAAACGGAACTAATAAAACGCATCTAAAAACACAATAACCTACCAAATCAAAATCACATAAACAAACAAACATCCACCATACCCAGCTCCCTTAGTTCTCCTCCCCAATCCCATCGGCATCTATTCCAAATCTCAAAATTCCCAAATTCTATATAAGCAACCCCTAAACCCCCCTCTTGGGTTGCACAGACCACTTTCGCCCCTTTCGGAAACATATTAAATGGCCTGACCGGGCCCGTGTGCGAAATACGCATCAGTCGGAAAGCGCACGTTAAATCTCCAAAGTAAGTAAGTAAGTACCCTCATTCAGTCTTGCTTGACAACGGTATAAGGATCTATACCGAAACGTCGCTTTTTACAGTATTAAAGAAGTTGTTATCCATAAAATTGTGTCTATCTTGTCATCCGCCAACTTCTAAGTAATGCCTATCAAACAAGTTACAAATGACTAATTCATCTATGGAACATTGGTATATAACACATCATGTGTATGTTGATCATGAATAACGCTACAACCTGAGAAATATAAAAAAAATCACCTGTACAAACGACGCTTCTAACCGACTTGAAATGACAATTTCACCTGTTCAAACTTTCAAATATTGAAGCTTATAATTTTGAATAATGGATAACGTTCAATACTGACTGGGAATGTCACATACATGTAGATGTATTGTACCACCGGTTGGATACATGTATATAGGTATCGCTTTATGAACCTGTTCTGAGCCATAATAAAAATGCCTCGAACAGTGCATTAAACTCATGGTCATTCTCCTTAGCCAACATTTCAACATTTCCAACATGCATGTAAAAGCCTGTCACGTTTTACGTAGACACTCAACTCTATATCAATATGGACACTGCGGTCGTTGAAAGGGATATGTATTCAGTTCAAATGGACTCTGGCACATGTAGGTGCATTTTCTGATCAATTGGTCTAAGAGACTAAACTCTGATAAACGGAAAAATGTCTACCACTCTTGCTTGGCATGGTATAAAACCATTCACAAAACTACAATCTTATATGACTGAGTCCAACAGTGTTGACTTGAGTTGGTTATTATCGGCCTGGCATGTATTCATGTCTTTGGCGACTGACGCTTTTGAAAACCTTTCCATAACATTTAGCAATGTACCCAATAGCGCATACAAATTATCTCAATGGCACATTCACTGAAGGATCCGGGTCAGCTGTCTCGGTCTGGCGTCTGTGCTTTACAGGAAAGCAGATGAGAAACAACTATTACATTCAGATGACTAAAGACGTAACCTTGTCCATACATCAGGAAGGTTTCAAGTAAATGCGTCTTCTGTTGATAAACTTATCTCCGTTTCAAAACTACAGCTGAATGTACATATGCGTGCTTATATGCCAATCGTTGAATGTATGGTATAGAAATTATTAATAGTAATCCTACTTCCCGTATATTTTCATTGTCACTTAAAGAATTTATCCAGGCATAACACACTTGAGCCAGAATCAACATGAGCATACATACTGGTCGTAAGGTTGTGGTCCCTCTGCTTTGACTTGGCATTAAAGGCGCGATTTTTATCTTAAAGTTGCACAGGAATTAAGACATCATAATAACTATTTAAAAACATCACATACGATTCAAATAGTGAAACGTGTAAGATTGTGTGTAATAGAGTAAAGCGTTTGGGTGTGGTTTTTTTGTATGAATATATTTTCATACAACTCTTTGTATATTTAAAAGGTCACTAAATTTGTCGAGTCAAAATGATTGTGCACTTTGACGTCAAATATGGATGTAGGGGAGATAAACGATTAACAGGTGAAAGGCAAACTATTGCATTTGTTAAGATTAGACTAAATGGATATACGTTTGCCTTTGGTTTTAAATAAATTGTTCCAAAATTACGTGTGGAAGTGGCGCAAAGCAAGTTCCAGAGAACTGGAAGAAAGTGAATGTCAGTTCTTATAATGATAACTATTTGTTTACCACGACGGATGCAGATATATAAACAACTGTATTACTATTTTTTACACTGACAGCAGTTCAACTACCAGCTATATCGCGGAATGAGGTAGTTCATCAAGAGAGGCGACGTTAGTGAATGTATTCTCACGTTGTTCTACAGTGACATCTTTTGTAGTATGTTTACAACACATTATCATCCTCAAATGTAAATTATCTGTTAAGAACTACTTCAGTTCGTCAGTTACAATGACAGTGCTTCGTAATACATTTGCATCAAGTACAATACGTCAACGATAAACGTGACGGGAGAGATTTCGGAAGTTGTTAATGAACCTGTGGCGATTACATGTGTTTGTAAATTGGCCGATCATTTAAAGGTATTAGTAATATAATAGATTGCTTAAGACTGTCACTGTCGGTCTAGACACGGATCCAGTCGATACTACAAATAGATCTAAAGGATGGGTCGTAGCGAGAATATTCGTCAACGAACATGCAGTCAGATTCTCTGACCTTTCTCAATTTATGCCAAAACGCTGAGTTCAAGATGAAAGGTTCGAAATAATCAGAAAGAATGCTGTATTCGGAGAAACCAAAAGAGACACACTTCAGACAGAGTGAAGCCAGTGTCTTGTTTGGCAATCGAAGTGTTGCAGTAAGTTGTTTGTGTTTGCTTTAGTTTAATGTTATCTAGATTTGATGAATTTGCTTTGAAAAACAGAAATATAAGGCAAACCAATTAATTTCGATGATCAATCGGTGTAACTGTAACCGCTCCGGGATCATCTGGTTATAACAGCGTCTCCCACTGATGCTAAACCGTGCACTATGTTTAGTTCAATGTGTCTGCATTGCCACAAATATCCCTATTGTTACCTTTATGTTTCCTACAAACATACGTTGTTACTTTTTAATAGCCTACGGAATACCCTAGCTTTCGAACTATAACGGCCCGTGTTATTACACAAAACAACGACATTAAACTGACAAGATGTATGATAATCTGATGATGGGCATGTGCAAATACAAGAATTTAACAAGTAAAGCACATGTGGTGGTTGTACTAACGCTGCTATAAGTGCCAGCGTCCCATTACCCCCTGGTCTACATTTTATATAGAAATATTCATGCTCTGTCACCATCATCATTTCAAACGTAATGCTTAACATGGGACTCAAATACACAGCCCTGCGACCACATAGAACATGGGAAAGACTTTCACTTCTTAATCACTTTAGATCAATGTTTAAACAAGATCTTAGTAGAAAAAAACAACTTCTTTGTTTAAGTATAGAGAGAAAAACAAGGGTAATATGTGTTCAAAGCACATACGAAAGAAGCATTGTATAAACGTACCTCTGGTTTTGGATCTTCACCAGGCAGTGTTATTTCGGGAACCTGAAAAGATAAATTTATTGCATCAATTTAATATTACAATTTAAGCATCATATAGCTTGTAAATTCCCCATATTGTTAGTATTGCTGCTCGAAAGCAAATGGATTCAATCCAAAGATGGGTGTCAATCCACTGACGGTTTGTGTCACACTTGTGAACATGCTATCAGAATATTATAACTGGCATTTCCAAGTACATCCATGAGGGACACTGATTTAGGTTATAGCGAAATACTTCTCTTTCAGAATCCTTGAACTCGATTGGTTTCTATGCTGCGGCCTTTTTAAAGAAAGGAATGTAGTTTATGCTTGAAGGTTAAAGTACCCAAATACATGAATAGATAGTAACCAAATACTTATGACCCCGCAATTACCATCAGGTAGAAACTAAAATAATAGTAAGAGCAGACGAGCAATTAACTATAGAACAATATGTATTCAAAGCACATACCTAAGATGCAATGTATAAACATACCTCTGGTTTTGGATCTTCAGCAGGTATTGTTATTTCGAAAACCTGAAAATTGAAATTTATAACATACATGTGACATTCTAGTTGAAGCATCATATGGCTTGTAAGTTCCCCATAATGTAAGTATTGCAGCTCGAAAGAAAATGGATCCAATCCTAAGGTGGATGTTAAGCCGCTGACGGTTTGTGTCACAATTGTGAACATGTTATCAAAATTAGTACAACTGGCATTTCCAAGTACATCCATGAGTGACACTGGTTTGGATTCTAGTGAAATACTTGTCTTACAGAATCCTTGAGCTCAATTTGTTTCTATGTTATGGCCTTCTTAAAAGAAAGGAACGCTATATTTTGCTGGAAAGTTATAATATGTGAATACACAAATATATAGTAACCAAAAGCGTATGACCCTACAATCACAATCAGGTAGAAGACAAACAATTGTTAATACAGGCGAGGCATTAGATGACAGCAAAATATTTATTCAAAGCATATACGAAAGAAGCAAGGTATAAACGTACCTCTGGTTTTGGATCTTCAGCAGGCATTGTGTTTTCGTGAACCTGAAAAGAGAAATTTATTGCATCAATTTAATATTGCAATTTAAGCATCAAATAGCTTGTAAATTCCCCATAATGTTAGTATTGCTGCTCGAAAGCAAATGGATTCAATCCAAAGATGGGTGTCAATCCACTGACGGTTTGTGTCACACTTGTGAATGTGCTATCAAAACTATTATAACTGTCATTTCCAAGTACATCCATGAGGGACACTGATTTGGAATATAGTGAAATGCATGTCTTACATAATCTTTGAGCTTGATTTTTTTCTATGCTACGGCCTTTTTAAAAGAAAGGAATTCTAGATTAGGCTGGAAGGTTATAGTACGCAAATACATAAATATATAGTAACCAAATACTTATGACCCCGCAATTACCATCAGGTAGAAACTCAAATAACAGTAAACAAAATATCTCTTCAAAGCGCATATGGAAGATGCAATATATAAACGTACCTCTAGTTTTGGATCTTCAGCAGGCATTGTGTTTTCGTGAACCTGAAAAGAGAGATTGATTGCATCAATTTAATATTGCAATTTAAGCATCAAATAGCTTGTAAATTCCCCATAACGCTAGTATTGCTGCTCGAAAGCAAATGGATTCAATCCAAAGGTGGGTGTCAATCCACTGACGGTTTGTGTCACACTTGTGAATATGCTATACAAAATTATTATAACTGACATTTGCATATACACCCATGAGTGACAAGGATTTGGATGCTTGTGAAATACTTGGCTTACAGACTCCTTGAACTCGATATGTTTCTATGTTATGTCCTTCTTAAAAGAAAGGAATTTTAGATTATGCTGAAAAGTTATAATATGTGATAACACAAATATATAGTGACCAAATACTTATGACCCCGAAATTCCAAGTAGGTAGAAACTCAAATAATAGAAAACAAAGTATATATTCAAAGCACATACGAAAGAAGCAATGTATTAACGTACCTCTGGTTTGGGATCTTCAGCAGGTAAGTTTTTTTCGGGAACCTGAAAAGAGAAATTTATTGCATGAATTTAATATTGCAATTTAAGCATCATATAGCTTGTAAATTCCCCATAATGTAAGTATTGCTGCTCGAAAGAAAATGGATTCAATCCAATTGTTGGTGTCAAGCCACTGACGGTTTCTGCAACACTTGTACATATGTTATCAAAATTATTATAACTGGCATTTCCAAGTACATCCATGAGGGACCCTGATATGGATTCTAGTGAAATACTTGTCTTACAGAATCCTTGAACTCGATATGTTTCTTTGTTACGGCCTTCTTAAAAGACAGGGATGCTATACTGGAAGGTTATAGCACGCAAATACATAAAAATATAGAAACCTAATACTTATCACCACACAATTACCATCAGAGAGAAACTCAAATAATTGTTAAAGCAGACGAGGCATTAACTATAGCAAAATATTTATTCAAAGCACAGACCTAAGATGCAATGTAAAACATACCTCTGGTTTTGGATCTTCAGCGGGCAGTGTTTTTTCGGGAACCTGAAAAGAGACATTTATTGCATCAATTTAATATTGCAGTTGATGCATCATATGGCTTGTAAATTCCCAACAATAAAAGTATTGGTGTTCAAAAGCAAATGGATCAAATCCCAGGGTGGGTGTCAAGCCACATATCATCAACAGTATCATAACTGGCATTTCCAAGTACATCCATGAGTGACATTGATTTGGAATATAGTGAAATACATGTCTTACAGAAACCTTGAGGTCGATTTTTTTCTTTGTTTCGGCCTTTTTAAAAGAAAGGAATTCTAGATTATACTGGAAGGTTATAGTACATGAATACATAAATATATAGTAACCAAATACTTATGACCCCGGAATTACCATCAGGTAGAAACTCAAATAATAGTCAAAGCAGACGAGCAATAAACTATAGCAAAATATGTATTCAAAGCACAGACCTAAGATGCAATGTATAAACATACCTCTGGTTTTGTATCTTCAGCAGGCATTGTTATTTCAGGAACCTGAAAAGTGAAATTTATGACATCAATTTAACATTGTAGTTAAAGCATCATATGGCTTGTAAGTTCCCAATAATGTAAGGTGGGTGTCAAGCAACTAACGGTTTGTGTCACACTTGTGAACATGTTATCAAAATTATTATGACTGGCATTTGCATATACATCAATGAGTGACACGGACTTGGATTCTAGAGAAATACTTGTCTTACATAATCCTTGAACTCGATTTATTTCTATGTATTGGCCTTCTTAAAAGAAAGAAATGCTAGATTATGCTGTAAAGTTATAATATGTGAATACACAAATATATAGTAACAAAAAGCGTATGACCCTACAATCACAATCAGGTAGAAGACAAACAATAGTAAAAGCAGACGAGGCATTAGCTGACAGCAAAATTACGTGCCTCTGGTTTTGGATCTTCAGCAGGCATTGTGCTTTCATGAACCTGAAAATAAAGATTTATTGCATACATTTAAATTTAATATTGCCATTGAAGCATCATACAGCTCGTAATTTCCCCATATGTGGATAAATGTCAGGCTGCTGACGGTTTCTTCAATTACTTCAATACTGAAGATGTAATACAAAAATAGTATACCTAGCATTTCAATGTACATCCATGAGGGACACTGATCTGAAATAAGCTGAAATATTTGTCTTACATAAACTAGTTTCTATGTTACGGCCTTCTTAAAAGTATGAAATTCTAGAATACACGTACGATGGCAATGATGTTTTCTTTCATGCGTGACAAATATTCGTATACATCGATTGAGCGATGCAAGCTCGGCACAAGTTGTTCTCCTCTGGGCCACATTTTCTCACGCATAAACAGTGTGAGCAGTTTAAAACTTGACACTCTAACGAATAACGCTCCCTCTGTGAAAAACTTGGAATATAGCACATCATATGTATTATGACAATGAATAACGTTCAACAATGAATTAAATATTAACCAGTTCATCTGTATTTTTCCATATTTCGATGTTCTTAAAACATAGTGATTCCGGGATTTGCCGGCAATAAAGGTATCTGCATGCATTGTTTATAAACATAAACAAACACATATCTCGGAAGTACTAACAAGGCAAAAGACAAATACAACCATATAATCAAGACCGCACAATCACAACCAAGTATTAACTCAAAGAATATTAAGAGTAGATATGATATTCACTGCCAATGAAGTGTTTATTTTTGTGCACAGACGAAGGAAATAATTCATACCATTACCTGTATTCGTAAATCGTCAGTTTTCTTAGATGTTGTGCGCACCTGGAAGAGACTTGTTATTGTATCAATTCAATATAAAAATTGATGCATCCTATGGCGTTTGCGTTTCATCTCTGACATAACTCCTTATAACAGACTGATAATCATTGTAATGCATATGAAGTGGTGTCACAGATTTGTTTAGTGTAGCGAGTAATACAGCAAGGGCCATTGTCTTATGGCTTTGTTAGAATGTGGTTTACTTTACACATTTATCGGTCAGAAGCTTTCTCTGAGGTATGGCCTTCCGCATACATACTAAATAACAAAAGTTCCTGTAACATTGAATATGATTCAATGCAAAGTTATGATTTTTACCAAATCTGGAACAATTTCGGTTTTCTTAAACTGACATATTTTAGTTGATGATGTATGTTGTTTTTTTACTGGTATATTCAGTTTGATCAACTTCCAAGGCAGAGAAGACAGAAGGTGTAGCATTTATTTATGTTCAAGATAAAAAATAGCAGATGAATTTTCCAAGAGGTGGAATAAGAGATGACATCTTATTGTGAAGATTCCCGTGAGGATAACTAAACACAAAGCTGTAAGCAGGGTTGGAATCGTTAGAATTCAATTGATTGGCGTATTCAAAAGATCGTGTGATACGGTGTTCTTTAAGATATGTCTTATCAGGATCACCGTTCTGGAGGAGCCAAGAGAATCTTAGACCTTGATAAAGGATTAAATCGGGTATTTGAAGGTTGCTTTTTCAAGCCCCCCAATAGATGATCGAACAATTGTAAGTTTGGAGAGGATACATGATGTGGGGTTGACTAATGTCCTACCTACTATGAATTAGAAACAAATTTTAAGAATCACAGTACCCTCAGACTGTTTGCCTTAAGGTATTTTGTACGTGGCAAAATATATATTCAATAATGTGGCTTCCTTCATTGGGAATGCCAACGAGATATAATGCTGGTTCACAATGTGCTAATCTCGAACACAAGCAGTTGCGGTGATGTGACCTTAAGCCTATACATTTATCACAAGTGCTTATCTCATAGTTTTTGTTCGAACTGAAAAAAAGCAAGACTAATACGTATTAATATTATTTAAGCTGCGCGAATAAGTTAATGCACTGTTTGGCTATCGGCGTATATGTACACGTTGTTATTAAGTAAACGCATGTCCACCAGAGTATTAGCATGTACATACACAAATACGACACAATACGCCTGTCCACGCATTCACAATCAAAACTCTTAAGAGAAGTTAAGGCATCAGCCGGCAATGAAGTAATTGGTAAATGCACATTCGAACTTAAAGCGTTACCTGCATTTCTAAATCACCGGTACTTGTGGATCCTGTGCACATCTGAAAAGATAACTTTTATTGTATCAATCTGATATAGCATCTGTCTCTCATCAAACTGATCCGATCCAAAGGCTAGTACAATCACGACATGACGATCAAGACAACACCTACGATAACATTATCAATACCCATGAAAAATATCGAACCTGGCATTTGCAATTACATCCAAGCGAAACACTGATTTTCAATTTGGGAGATACACTTGACTTAAATAAGGTTTTAACTAGATATGTTTCCATATTCCAATGTTCTTAAAAATAGGGATTCCTGAATTTGCCGGCAATAAACATAGCTGCATGCATTGTCTCGAAAGTACCAACCCAGTCAATAGACAAATGCAACTGAATACTCAAGACCACGCAATCACCACCAGGTATATTAAGAGTAGCTAAGATATTCACTTACAGCCAAATATATATTAAGTGCATAGACGAAGGAATGAATCTATAAAATTACCAGTATTTGTAAAGCGGCAGGTGTTGGTACTTGGAAAGAGAGCTGATTTTGTATAAATGCAATATAAAATTTGATGCATCGACTGGCGTTTGCATTTGATCTCGGATATAACTTCTATTAACGGACTTTTAATCATTGTATGGCAAAAGAAGTGGTGTCAAAGATTTGTTGAGCGAAGCGTTTGCTGCAGCATGGGCCTTTGAATTAACAAGGATGCCTACATAGCTTGGTAAGAATTGGATTTACTTTACACCTTTATCGGTCACAAGCATTCGCTGAGGTTTGGCATTCCGCATATAGAGGGCTCCGAGCATTTTCCGATTACCCACAATGCATCGCCGGTAGCCATGACGCCAGGCTGTTTTGAAAACACGCTCGGGTTGTCCTATTGTTAATGCTCAGTCATCCAACACGTGAAAATGCCGACGACTTGCGCTATTGTCAATTGTCATAACCGATCTGGTAGAGACCAAAAGAACTTTTATCGGATCCCAAAGGTAATTTGTCATCAAAGCGAGGACACACAGAGGAAAAGCGAGCGGCGCAGACGTCTTTTGTTGGCAGCAGGTCCGATATGAAAACGTGTGATCAACTCCGTGTTTGTTCCGGACACTTCCTTTCGGGTATGATTTTTTTATTTCACAGTTTAGTTTAAAATGGTGTAAGATTTTGTCAGAGAGAAGTAAACACCTCACGTGTGTATTACTGTTATCGTAGTCGTAAACACTGGCCAAAGTAAATAATGACTTTAGTTGACCAGTGATACATCAAGGCAGGAGGGGTGTATATCTATACATATACAGTCCAAGCACATGCATTTCCCAATATGCAGATGATAGGTTGGTAGATGGCATGTATTATATTGCAATGACCTCATGACACCCCTCCAGTCATTCCACTAATTTATACATATTTCAGGAGAGTTGATTTTTTTACTTTTTATTTTTTAACTTTTGCATATATATATATTATATATATGTTGATGATTATGATATATATATATAGAGGATTCATCACGAGTGTTTTTTAATATGGGAAATATCAACTGAGTCTTAGTTATTAGGTATTTGCCGAGCCTTTGGCGAGGCAAATACCGATTAACGGGACGAGGATAAATGCTTCAGTTAAATGATTAATAAATATATCCTTTTGTATTTCAGGAAACCACATTTGTATGATGAAACAAATCCAGACTGTGTACCGAGCATCAACCTGGGCTACGTTTCTGTGAAATCACCAGTGGTATCAGCTGTCAGGCATGAGCGATTGCAGAAGTGGTAAGAATCAATAAAAGCAACTTTAGCTGCAATGAGCCTTTTGGAATAAAATGCATCATTTGCTATCGATACAGGTGCAGTTGTGTGTGGACCTCTGCCGGAGACTGACTGTGTCGATACAAATACAGATATATCTGACACAGAGAAGTTAAAATTTGCAAATATAGAA